TTATGTTGTTTGTTTCAACTGATTCTAAGATTAGCTTCTACTTACCTTGGTCTATTAGTTCGATTGCTATTACTATTAAACTGGTTTGTTACTCTTATATCCTCTCTCCAACATTCCTTATACTTCCTCTCTTCTTTGTCTGGCTTATCTCATCCTTTATACTGTCTTATCTACATCTTTATTTACAAAATGACTCTCTTATTTCTATTATTGACTTCCTTTGTTTATTAGACCAGGTTAGAAAGTGCATTCTTCCTATTATCTTTCATATTCTATTTCCTCAGTTGTTCTGTCTCTTTTTTATGTAGTAGGCTTAGCCAAAGAATACAATTGCAAATATTTTTCTGATTTCTTTGACTAACTTTTTCTTTCATCTATATTTTAACAACTGCCATTGCTATTACTCATTAATTATGGTTTGAATGGACATTTATCTAATTATTATTATAATATCTCTTATTTCTTCTATTCTTTATGATATTCTACAGCTTTCTTTTGTAATACCAATAAATCCGCATGAGTAATTTACCCATTTTCTGGAATGTTTACTTTAATCAACTGATTATCGATTAGATTAGCTGTCTCTTCTAAGACTTTCTCTCTAAATTGATTAGCCAACTATTTTGATTAAGGCAATATTTATGGTTTATAAGGGTTTTAATCCTTCCAATTTGTTTTCTTCAATTCCTCACAACCCAATCTATTTCTATATAAAATATCAAATTGTTTTTAAATTTTTTTTGTTTCCTCAAATGTGAAAATGATATTACCATCTTTATCTATAGTTCCTAATTTTGGTCTATCATTCGGTTGATGAGCAGTAACAATTTTATGCTATTATGGTTATAAAGATTTTTAATAATTAGGAACTTCTTCATTTTAAGCAGAGGGTAACTCTTTGATTTTAAAATCTGTAATGCCTATTAAAGTTAACAAAAATAAACATAAGTTTCTTTTACTAATCCCGCCTAGTTCATCTCCTCTCAAAACAGTCCAAATCTCACATAATAATGCTCTTTCTTCCGATAAACGTAGATTTTCATATTCAACAGCCTTTTCATTGCTCTCCTTTAATTGCAATTAATTCAAAAAGCCTAATCTTTACAATATTTCTCCTAATTTGAGATAGTCAATTGAAAATGATACATTTGAAGGTCTATCCTAGCCTGTTTAATCAAAAATCCAATCTATTACAGTTTCAAATTCTCTAATGAACTTTTAAGCAACTATTTTTTCGCTGTTATTTGATGTGAATTTAACATTTACTGTCACTACTTTAGTTGTATTTTTCTTCTCTTGCACTTCCTTCTGTTTCTATAGTCTTCTTTATGCATCTTAGTAAAGAATGTCTTCTACCTTTTGATTACGAACTATATTTTAAGACTTCTATTAAATTAATGGGCGATAATCCACTGTAGACTCTGATTGTTTCATCAATGGCTCAGTTGGTTTCTTTTAATTGAGATTGTACAATCTTTCATAAGTAGGGATTGTTTCATCTCTTTTTGAAAAGTTGAATTCATTAGTCTTTGGATGATAAGGATGTTGTAGATCACGTTCCATTTCATTTTATTTAATTTATTCCAATTTCTATTCCACTTTGATAACATGATTCTATTGATCGAATAAAAATTGATAGAGTGATCTCTTTTCTTAACCATCATTAAGCGTTTAGGGTGCAAATGAGCAAGGACGTAATTCTTCTTATTCATAATATTCCTTCAGCATTTAATTGTTCTACTTAAATATTTCAGCCTCTTAATTGAGTCTTTCATAAAGTATTTCATTATTCACTTAAGGCATCAATTTCTTTGAAATAATAGGTTTCGGCAGATTAGAATTCTATACCTTAAGTGGTGTGTCATCGGGAAGATCGTCTCCCTTCAGAATGGCAGGACATGCTGTCATATGTTATTGTTTGGAGTTCATTTTTAAAATATCAGTTAAGAAAATAAAAATATATATACAAATATAATGAATTAATCAGTTTTCGAAAAGCCCCATGTATTGCAGAGTATAAGTGAAGCTGATAAGTTATAATTTTACAATAGCACACGCTTATGGCATACCAAATTTAACTATCAGCTTTTTGATACAGAGGAACTTAAGAGTGTCCATTTTGAAGACAATAAAAAGTTTATCATGATACTAAAATCGATTCAGAATTTCAACAAGGAAGTAAGGATACTCTTATTACTCTTTTAGATCTAAACATCATAAAAGTAAGGTAGATTTGTTCCAACAATGCCCACTCGTTACAATTTTTACTAAAACATAGTAAATTTATTAAGAGAAGCTGCAATAGCCAAAGGGAGAGATGCTTAATTGATTTTCTTAGACAAGGTCTATGGATATTTTGTATAGAACAACCGAGAAGTAATGAAAACGTAAGACAAGGAAACAGGTAACACAACTTCAAGTGATGATACAAGATTTATCATTTAGGATCAGTCATAGCCATTACCAAGTAAATAGATTGATGATCAACTCAAGGATTATAAGGAAAAGAAAAGAACCATGCACAAAAATTGTGATCCACCATAATTAAGGTAATCGATGTGATGCTATGAGTCATTAGATTAAAATTATATAAGAGAAGACAATTTAACTAATTGAATAACATCATACCTCAAATATAAGCAAGGAGTACATTCCCCAAGGTTGTCTCCTTGCCCCAAAAGGAATAGGATGAGAATCTACAATAGAGTTAAGAGTAAACAGACGGTGAAATTGTGATTGATGGAGATCTATTAGGAAATGAAGATGATGAAGAGAAGAAAAAGAAGGTTGTCAATATGGTACCTAAGATAAAAGTATTTTAAAAAGATGATGTAAACTTAGAATTTACAGATATAAATAAATAGTTTGAAAATAGATAAAATTATTAGTTATATTAGCCATCAAATCAGGAAATTGAATTGAATCTATAAAATAGATGGATCTAATTTCGATAGAAAGAAGCAGCAGAGAAGAAAATGGATGAAGAAATTGTCAATTCTATGAATGTTTGGTCTAAAAACAAAGCAAGAATAGAAAAGGAAATTGATCGTAGAATAGATTCATAACATTATGGCAGTAGATATGCTGAAATTGATAAAAAAAGATCTTAATCTGTTGGATTATCATATTAACCAGATCCTAAAGTAGTCAATCTAAAACCATTACCAACCATTATACAATCATAAAATAGATAATATGATTCAGTAATTGATATATCATTTTTGGAAAGCAAGGCATCTGCACAAAGAGTAGTAAACGCAAGAAGAACTTACAAAGATATATTAAATTTAAGTGCTAATGATGTTTAACCAGATGAATAACCACCTTCCCTATCTATTTATGCAAATAAACTTAGATCCAATTCACTTCATAATAAGTTCTCGCAATTATTACAAAGAAACAGTCCCACAAGGTTGAATGAACAGAATTTATAAGAAGTATTGGATATCAAAAATAGATTTGCTAAACATAAGATCCCAATCTAAATAAATTCTTTGTTATCTGGAATTATGGTACCTACATATCAAGAAGACTTTAACAATAAACTTATGGATATTGGCCAATCTATGTTGGCAAATCCTTTTGAGGAGAAAAAAGGAAAAAAGAAGAAGAAGAAGAAGGATTGATCATTCATAATATTTAAAATTTAATACTAATTAAGCCATATCCATAAGATTTTATCAAATGCATGGCATTCATTATATCTAACGGTATTTGGAGGATAGAATTATTGTATCCTATTTAGACTATAAACTTTAATTTTTTAATTTATAACTCTATAAAATCTATTTTTATATTCTAAATTCCTTAATCTCAACAGGTATCAACAAATTGATTATTTTCATATTTATAGAATTTATAAAATTGAAAACTTTCGAAGTGTAGATACTAAAAAACATCCTTATTTTAAATAAGGTCTTATATGATCTTTGCGATTATTTTAAATAACCAAAGAGTATTTAAAATCAATAAAAATTTCATGGAGGATTAAATTAAATAATAATCAATTATATTTTTATAAATGACTTCTTACATGCAATCCTCCTTTAGTATTCAAACTAAAGCCAACTTTGATTTTTTGCAACAGCCTAGTGATTCTGATTCAGATAGCGAATCAAAACAATTTCTTAAAGGAGCCTAATAATAAAATTAGGAAAGAGATTTAAAAAAATAAAAGAAACTGATTGATATAGAATCAATTAAAAGTGAGTTAGAGATGAGACCAATAACGGAGAATACAAATCCTGAAAATTATTACCGCAGACATTCTAGGAAGAGTATTGGGGCATTAACAAATATGATAATACCAACATCATCTATTTTGATTGAATAATTAAGTTAACTTAAAAAGATAAAGGAAGTAAGAAAAGAAGTGCCTCCTGAATTGTTAGGCCGTATTTATTCTGAATTTAGGTATAAGATAGAATTCAATTAGATTTTAATCAGTGCCTCAATTGAATCCAGTTTATAGACAGGGAGATCAAAATAAGCGATTTTATATAATATTGGAAGGGAAGGTGGTAGTAATGAAGCCAAAAGAGAAGATGGTTGGATCTAATAAGTTGGATTACATTGATAATTCAACATCAAAACCTGCGAAAAAGACTGAGCAGGACCCCTACGGATTGAATAATGTATTCCCAGACTACATTATATTGAAAGTACTATTTTAAGGAGAGTATGTAAATAAAGAGCTATTAAAGTTCGTTTGGAGAGGCAGCTATTAAGTTGGACACCGCAAGGTCATCGACTGTTTATGCATTAGAATAGACTCACCTAATATACTTAAGTGAAATGGCATATTTAGAATTGATTAACCCTTATATGAGTGCTGCATTAGATAATAAAATTAATTACTTTTCCAAAACTCCACTCTTTTAGTTTATTGAACCCTAAGAATTTATGGGCATAATTTTAGAATGTAAATTGATAACCCATCATGCTGGTGAAATCTTGTTTAAAGAAGATGATAAAGCAACTCATATCTATTTTATTATCGATGGGGAGATTGAATTATCCAAGAAAGTGGGAGAAAAACGAATAATTTTGTCATCATATGGATAATATTAAGGATTCGGAGAAGTTGAAATTATGTTAAAGATCCCTCGATTCACATAGGCCAAAGTTATTACTCCAAAATTACACGTCTATAGAATAAGAAAGAGATAATTCTTTGATAACTTAGGTAATTATCAAATTTTTGAAACTATGAAAAAGAATTCAAATATTATATATAAGCATTGGTAAAATAGATGTGAAGCTGCTTAATAGACAATTCATCAATTGGACGAAGTATATTATATTATTATTATCAGATCTATAAGGCTGCTTAGGATGTCTAATAAAATAAACCAAATTTTAAGGCCAAGCATATTCTTAATAAGAAATTGGTGGAATCTTAAGGATAGAAGTTGTCATAAGTGAAATTATTGCAGAACATAACAGATGAAGATTTAAGGAATATCAAAATAGTTAATACTCAAAATTAAAGTGTGTTATAGAAAGTATACAGCAATACGTTGCAATAATATTAAGCTCGATTATTAAAGAAGCCTCAAGCTGTTTAATAATCTCACGATGAAAATTGTATTAGAAATCCATTCACAATTAAAACACAAGCAGATATTTTGAGTGAAAACAGCACAGAATTCAATTCATTAACAACTCGTTCATCTTAGCCTGTGGTTAAGACTGATAATGTTATTCCCTCTTATGGGTAATTACCATCACTTCATATCCCATAAAATACTCCTTTATAAATAGTTTTTGACACTCTTAGCACACTTCCTAGAGTAAATAAGGATAACCTTGTCTTATCTTTAATGTATTAATAGGCTTTCAAATCAGAGAATCCAGAAAAGAAAGCGAAATAGATTTAAAAGGTCATTTAAGCATCTTATAGGAATGTTTCAAAGTAATATGAATCAAAAATTCTTCCTCCAAACG